AAATCTCTTTTTTGTATAAATAATTACAGTTTCGGAAAAGCAGGAACTTGTCTAACATGGATGATGAAAGCTGATATAAGGAAAACAATTCTCTTTTTTTTACAAAGAAAATATCAAGATCATTATTATGTAGATGTTTTTTTACACTGTTATATTGCATGAAACCGTGATTTACGATTTTATGAAAAATACATGTAAAAAGGTGATATAATATTCAACTAACATTGTTCACTAAGTTATCATACAGAACAAATCAATTCACAGATAGATGTTCAACATTTCATACAAAAACATCGAAAATATTAAAACTTTCAATAGTTTTGTTAATTATTCGACTGAGAAAATTGGTTCTTTTATATCTTGAAATGCGTGCAAACGCATTTGAGGTATTTGAGGGCGGTTGAATGCGTTTAGACGCGTTTAATTAATTATAGACGCAAAACGCATCTGTATCTTGAACGCGTTTAAACATGACTGATGCTTCAAACGCAGCAAAACGCGTCCTCGAGTCTTTGATATTGAAACGCGTTTATTTATAAAACGCGACAATTCGTTGGAACGCGTTTAAACGCAACTCTATTGATACGAAAATGAACCGCGTTCAAATCAGAAATGTGTTTAGACACGTTTACCTATTTAAACGCACATAGACGCATCTATATCGGCCCAAAAAAGAAACGCGTTCAAATCTGAAACGCGTTAAGACGCGCTTGTCTCGTTCAACGCATCTGGATACATCTATAAATCGCGTTTGGACGCAGTTCTTTGCTATTTTCTTTGACAGCCGCGTTTAAACGCATCCAAAAACGCGTTTAGACTCGTTCTCACTGCGCTTCGAAGTTACATAGGCATGAGTGTACACATAGCCAACTTGCCATTCAATACGCATAGAGTTAGTTCTCTTTCAGTCTTTTCACACCTTATTGACAGAAATAATTGATTTTGCATCCAATACAGTTAGGGTTAGTCGATCGTTGGTTTAAACACATCCCCACTAGAGAAACCTTTTCTTTTACGAGGAACATACATACGATTCTTAATTCAATAATTTTCCTCTATCTAAAATGAGAAATCTTCGCCCTTCGATCAAAGACGTTCACCCTTATATGTTCTTCCATATTTTGATCGCATCTCAATGACACGAATCAATATCTGCGATTAAAAAAGGCAAGAGTTCGCTCCTCCTTAGGTTTTTCAAATATGCAAACGAAAAACTTTCATGTTTCCATCGAGCACGGTTCGGGCTAGGTTGTATATAGATACATCGCATCATCGTTCAAAAAATCTTTTTCATCCGATGCAGTAAGCTAGGATTAGCTGCTCCTTATTTTCTCTCATCTCACGCAGTGACACCACACTCCTTCCATTGAACATGCTAAGGATAAATTACTTAATTCTTCGCATTATTTCCAGATAACCATAGAAATGATTCTCCTTCAATCGAGCACAGTTAGACTTCCTCCCAGGGGCGTAGCTTGTGGGGAGCGAGCGGGGCGTTACGCCCTCCCTGCTTCTGAAAATTTTGTTTTTTTTTGAACAACATGACGGAAAAAGAGGTGTTTTTCTGGGACATTTAGCTACTAAATGTATATGAACTGACATTACCCCCCCCCCCCCCCCTCAGCTTTTGAAATTTCGACATCTTAGAGGTTACGTCCCCTGCTCTAGAGGCCTAGCTACGCTCCTGCTTCCTCCTTCGTTACTTTTTTCATATGTAAATAAAACAAATTATGGTCCATCAGTCAAGTACACTAACAGTTACTTCATCGTTCGTTTTTCATATTTTAATCAGACAAACTATTGTCTTTCGATCGAGTACAGTTAGAATTAGTTCACGGTTAGTTTTTGACATCTTAATTGGGTAAATTATTCTCTTTTGATGGAGTACAGTTAGAGTTAGTTCACCGTTAGTTTTTCATATCTTAATCAGACAAATTATTGCCTTTCGATCGAGAACATTTAGAGTTAGTTCGCTATTAGTTTTTCACATCTTAATGCGACAAATTATATTCTTTTAATCCAGTTTTCGGTTGAGTACAATTAGAGTTAGTTCGCCCTTGATTTTTCATATCTTACTGAGACAAATTATTTTCTTGCGATCCAGTACAGTTAGAGTTAGTTCACCGTTAGTTTTTCATATCTTAATCAGAGAAATTATATTCTTTTAATTCAGTTTTCGATTGAGTACAGTTAGAATTAGTTCACTGTTAGTTTTTCATATCTTAATGCGACAAATTATTGTCTTTCGATCCAGTACAATTCGAGTTAGTCTGTCGTTAGTTTTTTATATATTAATCAGAGAAATTGTATTCTTTTAATCCAGTTTTCGATTGAGTACAGTTAGAGTTAGTTCGCCGTTAGTTTTTGCATATCTTAATGACACAAACTATTTTCTTTGGATCCAGTACATTAGGATTTTTTCGCCGTTAGTTTTTCATAGCTTAATCAGAGAAATTATTTTCTTTCAATTGAGTACAGTTAGAGTCAGTTCGGGGTTAGTTTTTCGTATCTTAATCGGACAAATTATTGTCTTCCGATCAAGTACAGTTAGATTTAGTTCAGGATTAGTTTGTCATTTGTTAATCGGATAAATTATATTCTTTCAATCAAGTTTTCGATTCAGTACAGTTAGAGTCATTTCGCCGTTAGTTTTTCATATCTTAATGACACAAACTATTTTAATATAAGATTTTAACAGCAGCGAAATTCTTATAATAGCATAATGTCATAAAGAAAGACTACAGAAAATGACAGAATTTACTTTTGCAGAAAAACTGCAAAAGTAAATTCTGTATAGACTAACTGTATATCGAATTTATGATAACATTGTGAAATTACATTTTAGCACTATTCAATAGTGACAATATAACGTAACCATAAAATATTTTTTCGTTCTTCGTATAGTATACATATAGGCTGTTTCAAACTAGTGAACCCAGGCTGAGAACGGCTAAAGAACGCGTTCTAAACGGGTAGATCGGAACATGTTCGCGCATTCTGAACGCGTTCTTTATGGCGTTCGTTATCATCACGAACGCTCTCCAGAAGGAGCATTACGACAGCTGTAAACGATCGTTCGACGTTGTATATTCCTAAAATTCTCATGCCTCCCCTCCCCATTCTCCAAATAATATAAAAACTAATGTTTGGGCTGTCCAGCCTGGGCGCAGGTTCCAATTCTTTTTTTCTCATGCAGCTTCTATAATATCATAGAAGCTGCATGAGAAAAAAAAGAATTGAGACTGGCGTCCAGGCTGGACAGCTCATTTATTTTGATTAATACTTACTGTTTGGTTTATCCTTGATGATAATCTAAAAATAAAAAATAAAATTTTTTTAGATGAAAAAATACCTACTGTTTGATTTATTGTTGTAAATAATCTAACAATAAAAAAATAAAAATTATTTACATAAATAAATACCTACTGTTAAATTCGACATTGATATTGACCTAAAATAAAGAAAAAAAATTATTTATATAAATAAACACTCACTATTCAATTCGAGGTTGATATTGACCTAAAACTAACAAAATAAAAATTACTTAAATAAAGAAATACATACTGTTGAATTCGAAGTTGATGTTCACCTAAAACAAAAAAAAATTATTTATTTAAGTAAATACTTACTGTTCAATCCGATGTTGATATTGACCTATTCCAGATCGAGGCCAATAGTTAAAGGACGCGCACCGAACGGATGAACGTATGGAAACACATTCGTCACATGTTCGAATTATGTTCGATAGTATTCGTCCATTCAAAATGTTACGAACGTGTTCTGAACGGACGAACACTATCGAACGCATTTTCATACGTTCGTCCGTTCGGAACGCGTTCTTTAACCGTTCGTCTCGACCTGGAAACTAATGTATTTTTACTATACGACAACGTGATAGCATCTTGTCGTATAATAAAATTACATTAGTTCACTAGTTTGAAACAGTCTATATGTATACTATAAGAAGAACGAAAAAACATTCTATGGTTATGTTATATTGTCACTATTGAATAGTGCTAAAATGTAATTTCACAATGTTATCATAAATTCGATATACAGTTAGTCTATACAGAATTTACTTTTGCAGTTTTTCTGCAAAAGTAAATTCTGTCATTTTCTGTAGTCTTTCTTTATGACATTATGCTATTACAAGAATTTCGCTGCTGTTAAAATCTTATATTAATATTCTAAAGTCGCTCATTCACTTATGTTATTACAAACTATTTTCTTTGGATCAAGCACAGTTAGAATTTTTTCGCAGTTAGTTTTTTATATCTTAATGAGACAAATTATTTTCTTTCGATCGAGTACAGTTAGAGTTAGCTCCTTGTTACCGTTTCGCATCTTATTGGGAGAAATTATTGTGTTTCGATTGAGTAATACTATAGTTATTTCCTGGTTAAGTTTTTCATATCTTAATGTGACAAATTATCGTCTTTCCATTGAGTGCAGTGAGAGTTAGTCCGTCGTTAGTTTTTTGCGTCTTAATGAATGAAATTATTGTCTTTCTCTCGAATATAAGTAGAATTAATTCGTGATTAATTTTTTCATATCTAATGAGACAAATTATTGTGTTTCGATCGAGTATAGTTTTTGATAGTTCGTCGTTGGCTTTTTGATATTTTAATCAGAGAAGTTGTTGTGTTTCTCTAGGAACATGTTGGAGTTAATGGGTCATGTGTTAGATTTCATGGAAAGAAGAGTGAGCAGTGTCCGTGCCTCCAATACCTTAAGGTTTAGTTGTTTCTTGTCTAGGTTTATTTGATTCTATTGAGAGAAATATTATTACTTGATATAGTTCTATTTTGTATGGATGAGAGAAACTTTGGCTTTCTAAGTGAAACAGTTAGAGTTGGTTGGTGTTTTTTAGTATTTTCCCGTATAAGTATGATGTTTTTTTTCGTTGCTACTTTTAGAGGATTTTTTACAATTGTATTTTTGTCTCAACGTAATTATTTTGGCAAGGAATTATGTCTACAACTCCTATATACAACGTCGACATGGAATTTTTTGCTCATTCATCGAGTGGAGAGCTGTACTCAAGTAGTGCTGCTACATGCGTTTTAATTCTTTTAGTATTGGATGATAATTCTGTTATTATGGAGCACCGTTCCGATATTGATTTAGGTGGTGTAGGTAGTGAAGAAGAAGCGATGGCGTTGTTTCACAGCATTACACAAAATATTATTAAATGTAAAGAAACGGATTGTAGTGTTCGGTGAGTAAAATTTTTGAAAAGTTTAGCTGAAGGATAAGTGGAATGTTTATGTTCTTATATTGACGGAAGTAAAATGAAAGAATTCTAAACATATTGCTCTTAGTTCCGCTCTATTGTGTTATGAAACGGAACTGTATGTTGAGAGAAATTATGTTAGTGAAGGTAGTTGTTATTGTTTTTATAATATATAGGTGAAAAGTTTCGGGAGAAAAACATTAAAAATCGATTAAAATCATACACATGCCGTCGGTTATCCTAACAAAAAATCGAAATTGTTGTGATTTTTATGATTGATTTCGGTTGCAATTGATTGAAAATCGAGTAAAAAAAATGTCACTTTTAATCCACTTTTTTCATGATAAATGGTAAACTCTTTAAGCACTTTCCTTTTTTTTTTCATTAATTATAGTCAATTTCTTTCATCAATTGTTTGTTAAATAGAACCGATATGATTCACAATAATCAAAGAATTTGTTTTTGTTTTCTTTTTATTATAATCGATTATTAGGGTATATGATTTTTAATCGGTCTTTCGCTATTTTTTGAACAATTTTAATTTGATTTTTTATTACGTTTTGATGACTAATCATTTTTTTCATCCATGTAATGATTATTGATTTATTGATATATTTCATATGTCTGCTATTTTAGTGCTGCCTTCATTGTTGGAGGTTCTGATGAATCAATAAAACAGGAATTTGAAAAATCATTACAAAATGTAAGAAAAGAAATCATGGATGATGAATCTTTTATGGAATTAGATGGAGGTATTCAAGTTAGTTTAGCTAATAATATTAAATTACTTGATTTGACATGGAATATAAAAGAGGAAGAAGAATTATTCCAGAAAAATACAGCTTTTATTCAACTTGGTATAATCCATCACCATGAAGCTGGTCATTGCTTAGTTTTGAAACAATGTATTAACCTTGTTAATAGCGAGACCGATGACAGAACTACACTATGTTGTGGTGTTCTTTCGTTTATATTAAATTTTGCATCAGATATGTGCAGTAACAGTCCTTTTAATTATGGTGAATTTTATATAAGAAAAGAACTTGCTGAACTTTATGAAGGTATAGTTTTTTTTTAAACTTTAGTTTTCAATTTTCTGACCAGTATATTTAAAAAGCTGAATCTTCCAAAGTGCTGAAAAATTGTAGTAGGATTCACCTGAATAACACCAAAAGTAAAAATGTCGAAAGTAAAAACATCGAAAATAGAAATGTTGAAGAAAAAATATCGAAAACAAACTGCCAAAAGAAATATTTTATTCCTCGGCAGTAAACATGCTAAACACTCAGACGAAATTGTCTAATAACTGACCCACACCCTCATCTTCACCCCTTCACTCCTACTATTCTCCTACATTGTCCTTCAATATTTTTGTCTTTCGACATTTTTCCCTTTCGACGTTTTTACCGTTATTTCTTCGACATTTTTACTTTTCAACAAAAAGATCGAAATTATGGAAATTTTTCAAGCTTGTCATAATGCAGTGTAGTTTATTCTGATGAATCGAAAAGAACTATTTTCAAGAGAATAATACATCCTTTTCTTATTCTATAGCCATAGATTAAATACTCCTCGAACTTTGAATGTGACTCTGTTTCTCTTAATTTTAGCTGAAAAAGATATTGTAATAATTAATAAAACTGTTGAAAGATTTATTATGAAAGCTATTGGTTTGGGTGCCAAACAACTTGATGTAGTTGATGGATCATTAACAGTTAAACTTGAAGAAAGCTTGATAAATCGATTAACCAATCAAATTCCACCTGGAGTATCTGTATATCGCCTTTAATTGAACAAAAATAGTATGTTTTAGATTTTTTAACAAACAACGAAGAATTCTGTTCATATACCATAGAATAGCTAACTTCATTAATTGATTATTATATATTTAAAACATGAAATTTTTCTCTATATGTGTGATCATTTCTCCACCAACATTTTTTTTTACTCTTAACACCGATATAAACAAATCTTTAGTTTTTGTAGACCATAATCTTCATGTTCTCATTGGTAGATTCAGTATTGAAGTTTTTGATTATTAACAACAACCATTTTGAAAACGAATTTTCCTTTAACTATCCTGAACTATTAGACTTATTTTTGAACAAATATACTTGAACAGATGTAGCCAATATTCAGAGTTTATCTAAAGAATCTTCATCTTTATTACGTTATTGAGCTAATCGGAAACAAACACGATATGAAATATGATTAGAATAATTGACTTTAAAAGAAAAAAAAAATAAGAAATTGAGAGAACTAACTTGATTCCTTAAAGCCGACTTTTCTTATGCAGCTTTCGAATAATTCGAAAATCAGATATTTTAATCATGCTTTGAGTGAAGATTCTTAATTGTTTGATTGCATGTGACGTTCTCGTTTTGAATACTTCTGTAATAACATTGATGAAAAGAATTATTTCCATTAAAAATTTGAAAATATTGCATAATCATATCGTAGAAAAAGTTGTTTGATTATTCTTGCGACACTTAAATTAATATACTGTTATTTGTTCCTTATTCAAATCATATGGCTGGTTATATCAACAAAACAGAGATTGTTTATGTGATTATAATCTTCATCCTTCAAAATAAAATCAATGATTATTAATATTAATAATAAAAAAATGCAGTTGTTTTAAACATAGGTGTCAAAATGAAACTACATTTTGTTACTGGATTTTGAGAATAAAATTACCATATGTTTTATCTCGACCGTAATGAAAATAATTGCAGTTTTATAATTAATATGTGATGAAAAAGATTCTAATTAAAACTGATTGAAACCAAAACATAAAACAGAAGTAGATATTTTTCATCCGTTATACAAAGTGATATGTATAAAGAGACTTCTGATTTTACAGCTTAATCTATTCATGAAGATCATTTCAGTACCAATTTTAACTTTTTGTTTTCGAGGATAGTCAGTTCTCATTTAATGAATATTGTTCTAGATCGAATAAGAATTCGAATCCATAAAAATAGTAAAGTTTATGTGCACAAAAAATATTCATATTTATCGAGAAAAAAAAGATATAACACAGAAAAATAACAAATGGAAATATGTTGCATTCATCATTCAAACTGAGCTCATGATGAGTGATTTTGAATCATTATCTGTCGTTTGGCTTCTAAATAATTAAGATAAATACATTTATTTCTTTTTCAATTTTTAATATTACGATGATATCTATTACCACTCTTAATCTTTTCTTGTCTTTGTTTTGTTTCGACTATAATAATTCTTGAAATAAACTTCGATTCATACTAAGTAGTCTCGATTTGCCAGCAGTAGTAATAGTGATGATTAAAACTTGATGTAGATAGAGTGAACGAACCCAACAAAGAGTAATTATATAACTAAAGTCCTACTGTTATGGCTACCGCTATCGCATCTTCAACAGAAGAAATTCAACTAAAATCATCAGCTATTTCATTTATTAATTGACAAAAAGGAAAACCTTTACTAATAGCAAATGAATATATTTTCAAATCAAATAAAACAATAACTACTATTAAATATTGCAAAGGACGGGGCGCATAAGACCGTAATTTGGCCCATTGGACTTTTCATACTATATCCAGCACAATCATATATAGAATGAAAGAGCTTCAACTGGCGAGTACTTTCCAATACATTTGAGGACTTCCTACCTTATGATTTTAAATGAACTTATGACGATTACATAGTAATTACATCACAGCCTTTCAGATTAGTTTTCTCCATATAAATTCAAGAAATTCAGCTTCAATTATACATCATCGAATAGCTCTTTTCACGGGCTACAAAACCATATAGTTTTTAAGATTATTAAAGGTGGGCCCATCAAAGAATCTAAGACCACAAAGTAAAAACTATGCCTATTTTTACATATAGTACAACATATTTGATTAATTATTTTCTTAAAACTCCATATCAGCCAACTTCAATTATATACCATCGAATAGCTCTTTTCACGGGCTACAAAACCATATAGTTTTTAAGATTATTAAAGGTGGGTCCATCAAAAAGTCCAAGACCACAAAGTAAAAACTAAGCATAGTTTTACACATAGTATAACATGTTTGATTTACCATTCCTTCAAAAACTTTCTTAAGTCAACTCCTGTTTAACTTGTCAGATAGCCTTTTTGTGCCAGCTATCAAAATCAAATATTTGTAGGATCAGAAAAATGGAAACACTATAATGAAATAGGTGCATAGTGTTTTTGCAAATCTGTAAGAAGAGTGATACCATTTCCTATTCTTTGGAAAGATAATCTCCCATTTTCACACATCTTTCGATCTTAACCGCCACATACACTCGCAAAAGAAGTGACACGACCACTAAATACGTACGATCACCTTCCCGAATCCGCTTTTTGCACACACAGCATTGAGTTTTTCCTGCATGAGGCATAATAGAAAACGTATTCTCAAACAATATAACACTGTTATAAATATGTGGCTCGTTTTTACAATTTAACAGCCGCGCGTCCTTATAAATAACTCCGATAAAATAACAATGACGTTATGTGTTTAGTATTGCTCTTAATCGTATGTTGTTCTCACTTTTACATATAATATTCGTTCCTGCTGGTATGCAGCTACACCGGATTCTTTTTCTCTTTTCTTTTCTATGATTCTCACCGGATTCTTTTTCTCTTTTATTTTCTATGATTCTCACCGGTTCTTTGTTTCTCCATTTTTTATGGTGGAGAAGAAAAACAATACACACGATTTCTCAATTTCTCTTTGACAGCCTCATCTACACTATGTTTTTCCCGCATTCTGTTTTTTCTGTGCATGCATGATCACCAAACACAGCATTAAATCCATTCAGAGAGTATCAATAGTAGATTGATATCAGATGTAACTATGATTCATGAGCCTCTGTTTCACAAATTCCAATGACAGTATGTGAATATGGCAATATTTAAACGAATGTCTTTGCAAAAATCGTATGGTTTTTTAACCGAAAGAAGTAAGATCCAAATAAATCTGATCACCACTAGAGCGATGGAGCCAACAGTCGTCATACAATTATCTAATATAATTATAATAATCTAGATGTCAATGATAATATGAATCTCGTATAACAATTGATGCCGCATCTGACTTTTGGAAAAAAATAACAAAAACACGAAAGGGTATCGCTCTTCTTACAGAGTTACAAAAACAATATGTACCTATCTCATTATAGTGTTTCCATTTTTCTGATTCTACAAATACTTGATTTTTATAGCTGACAGAAAAGGCTATCTAACAAGTTAGAACAGGAGTTGACTTAAGAAAGTTTTTGAAGGAATGGTAAATCAAACATGTTATACTATATGTAAAACCAAGCATAGTTTTTACTTTGTGGACTTGAAATTTTTGATGGGCCCACCTTTAGCAATTTTAAAAACTATATGGTTTTGTAGCCCGTGAAAAGAGCTATCCGATGGTGTATAATTGAAGTTGGCTGATACGGAATTTTAAGAAAATAATTAATCAAATATGTTGTACTATATGTAAAAATAGGCATAGTTTTTACTTTGTGGTCTTGGACTTTTTGATGGACCCACCTTTAATAATCTTAAAAACTACATGGTTTTGTAGCCCGTGAAAAGAGCTATCCGATGGTGTATAATTGAAGTTGGCTGATACGGAGTTTTAAGAAAATAATTAATCAAATATGTTGTGCTATATGTAAAAATAGGCATAGTTTTTACTTTGTGGTCTTGGACTTTTTGATGGGCCCACCTTTAGTAATTTTAAAAACTATATGGTTTTGTAGCCCGTGAAAAGAGCTATTCGACGATGTATAATTGAAGCTGAATTTCTTGAATTTATATGGAGAAAACTAATCTGAAAGGCTGTGATGTAATTACTATGTAATCGTCATAAGTTCATTTAAAATCATAAGGTAGGAAGTCCTCAAATGTATTGGAAAGTACTCGCCAGTTGAAGCTCTTTCATTCTATATATGATTGTGCTGGATATAGTATGAAAAGTCCAATGGGCCAAATTACGGTCTTATGCGCCCCCGTCCTTTCTGACGAAAACTCTTTTTTTTGTGTTTTGAATCGTTTTTCATATCTTCCTAATATTTTGTTTTTTTTCCCCAAAAACATGGACAAATCGACTTAAAAAATAATATAGTTCTGTCATAATTTTCGTGTTCTATCGAATGTGATATAAACGAACGAGAGAAAAACGCCTCTTCGATTTTTGCATTATACGCAC